GGCATAAGTGACATGTTATCATTACAAAGATAAATCATATTAAACTAATCAATTTAACTTTAACACAACTGTAAAAGTAAGTTTTGTTTTCAACTAATTATCTAAATTACTCTTAAAAAAATTACAATTATACTTTTCTTTTCTATTAAATTCCAATTTTTTTTTTCATTTATAAACCTTTTCCAAAATTCCAATTATGTACTTGGTTGTTTCCTAATATTCTAATTATATCCCTATATATTTTCTAATATTTCAATTATATCTATATGTATTTTCTAAAATTCCAATTATATCCCTATGTATTTTCTAAAATTTCAATTATACTCCTATATATTTTCTAATATCCCAAATTTGTTCCTGAATAATTTCCAATATTCCTATTACACCCTTAAATATCTTGCAACTTGGCAATGGCCTTTAAAGATTCAAGATCCTTCAATAGGGCTTTCAAACCTGTGAAATAGCTATTCACACTTTTCTTTGTTCTCATATTTGGAAGTAATCACTTTAGAGTATTTGTTGCATAGGTCATTCCACAACTCATCAGCACCAAAAATCCTAGATTAAGAAACTAATTATGTAGAAACTCATTGTATGGATGCACGTCCTCTAATAGCATGAGAACTTAAAATCTGATCAATGCATGTAACAAAGTGAATTCCTTACTTTTTCTGCTTGAGAAAGTGGAGGATCACTGCACATCCACAAATAAAACATTGCAGCAACCCAAAAAGAAAAGGTAACGGCTTTATTTTAATAATCAGCTGTTGATTAAGCCTTTTATTTATATAATTTATGTATTAATATATAAGTCTGAACGAGCAGAAAAAGCGACAATACACTAGTGCAAAAAAAGGCTATTACGTCACCCAATTTATGTCGCAAAATAGAAACCCTGACGTTGTAAAAACGCGGTGGCAGTTTCGTAAATATGTGGAGACTAATTTACGTCGGACAAAGGGGGGTCCGACGTAAATTAGGAAATTAACGTCGTAAGTGACACTGCACGACGTAAATTTATGTCGGACCCCCCTAGTCCGACGTAAATTTACGTCGGACCACCCCCATCTGACGTAAATATTCCCCTATATTGGCCAACGTTTCATTTTTCATTCCCGCACTCACAGTGTATACGAAATCTATTAGCTTTTCTCTGATTTTCTAAGTCTCTCACTACGTTTATTTCTACAATGAACGTTTCCAAGTCTCTAAGTGTCTGCACGTTGCTCGTTTGAGGTTAGTTTCTTGTCCATGCAATTTTTTTGTTTTTTTGCTATTTGTTCCTCTGGAACGGGCCGTTCTCCTTGCAGAATGGGTCGTTCTCCTTGCAGTACGGGCCATTTTGCTTGCAGTACAGGCCATTCTCCTTGCAGAACGGGCCGTTCTCCTTGCAGAACGAGTCGTTCTCCTTGCAGAACGGGCCGTTCTGCTTAAATTATTGGTTTTGTAAATTGTTGATCTGGAACGGCCTGTTCTGATTTCAGTACGAGCTGTTCCAGATGCATTAAATATTGACTTTTTTAGGCATTGACATTTAGTTTACCATCGTATTAGTATAAATATTTATGGATTTTATCCAAAATTACTATCGATTTTTTAATGTCGAGCTCAAGCTCGGCATCACAACACAAAGTAACCTCGAACGCGCACTAGATGACGTCAACCCGACATTCAAATAAGTCATAACTGATCTCAGGCCCAAGGCCTAATGAAACCCTAATTCACACTAAGGTACGTGCATTATTTATACGAGACTCATACATCCACAAACACTAACTTTAGCATCGGAGTCTCTTTTGCAGGTATCACCCCCACCTTGGAACAGCAATCATACCCAGTGAAAGAGGCTCACCAATCTTACTCAATAGATCGTCCTCCCCATGACCGATCTCCGATAAGAACATTTGGCGCCCACCGTGGGGCCGATCAAGATAGCTCTTATCGGCCACGCTTATGGTATTCACTCGAAGCTATAGTAGACGCGCAACAGATGACGTAGATCACACGACAAGCATGGACAATGAAACATCATTGAGAAGGTTGATCGAACAGGTCGAGCAGATGCGACAGCAACACACCGCTGAACTAACTCTGACCTCGGCTGACAAACAACAGGTATGGATCTTACATGTTGATGGGTCCTCCAATTCTCTCTCAACTAGAAGGATGTACTGCTAGGGTCTTGTCGGGATAGCAAAGTCGTGCAAGATATGTCCCATGCACACAAACAGGCAGAACTGGGCCTTCCAAACCGCACTATCCCCTAGGACTCCTCCAAGATGTTTCACACATGGAGGGCCTTCCCTAACGATTATTCCATATCGTACCCCGTCACATAAATGCATATGATGCATGTCACACATTCACAAACTCATGGACTCATTAAGGGTGTGCATGGTTTGGTTTTTTTAAAAAAAACCGCACTGAACTACACCACACCATTTTAATAAAATGAACTGGTTTATAAATTATGTGAACCACTTTAACAAACCATTTTAAAATTGAATTACTTTAATAAACATGTTTATAATCGGTTTAAAACCAGTTTCATAATCAAACCAGTTTTTGAACCGGTTTTAAAAAATAAACCAGTTTTAAATTGGTTTTAAGAATGAAACTGACAACTAATATGAACATTAGCACAACAGGTACTCCAAACCCAATTTTCCATCCCACATTTTCTTGAATGTACACAATTACACTCAATGAAATCACGATTGATATTCCAATTGAGGCATAATACCAATTAAAGTAGCTACCAAGAGCCTCTCATCATTAGATCTGTCTTTAATTGTCAGTTGATCTACTCCCACTAGTACATAATACATTTTTTACGTCGACCATTTTAGGGGTTTTTACGTCAGAAAAACTACCGACATTGAAGCGGTAGACCCGACATTCAAATAAGTCATAACTGATCTCAGGCCCAAGGCCTAATGAAACCCTAATTCACACTAAGGTACGTGCATTATTTATACGAGACTCATACATCCACAAACACTAACTTTAGCATCGGAGTCTCTTTTGCAGGTATCACCCCCACCTTGGAACAGCAATCATACCCAGTGAAAGAGGCTCACCAATCTTACTCAATAGATCGTCCTCCCCATGACCGATCTCCGATAAGAACATTTGGCGCCCACCGTGGGGCCGATCAAGATAGCTCTTATCGGCCACGCTTATGGTATTCACTCGAAGCTATAGTAGACGCGCAACAGATGACGTAGATCACACGACAAGCATGGACAATGAAACATCATTGAGAAGGTTGATCGAACAGGTCGAGCAGATGCGACAGCAACACACCGCTGAACTAACTCTGACCTCGGCTGACAAACAACAGGTATGGATCTTACATGTTGATGGGTCCTCCAATTCTAAGGGTGGTGGTGCAGGTATTATTCTAGAAGGTCCAAATCAAGTCACCTTGGAGCAATCTCTCAAATTTGGCTTCAAGGTGACAAACAACCAAGCGGAGTACGAAACTCTTCTCGCATGGCTAAGGTTAGCTCGCGATCTCGGAGCACGGAGAGTGAGTTGCAACAGCGACTCAAAACTTATGGTAGAGCAGCTGAGCGGGACATACCAGGCTAAGGATGTTCTTCTGCCGCGCACTAGATGACGTCAACCCGACATTCAAATAAGTCATAACTGATCTCAGGCCCAAGGCCTAATGAAACCCTAATTCACACTAAGGTACGTGCATTATTTATACGAGACTCATACATCCACAAACACTAACTTTAGCATCGGAGTCTCTTTTGCAGGTATCACCCCCACCTTGGAACAGCAATCATACCCAGTGAAAGAGGCTCACCAATCTTACTCAATAGATCGTCCTCCCCATGACCGATCTCCGATAAGAACATTTGGCGCCCACCGTGGGGCCGATCAAGATAGCTCTTATCGGCCACGCTTATGGTATTCACTCGAAGCTATAGTAGACGCGCAACAGATGACGTAGATCACACGACAAGCATGGACAATGAAACATCATTGAGAAGGTTGATCGAACAGGTCGAGCAGATGCGACAGCAACACACCGCTGAACTAACTCTGACCTCGGCTGACAAACAGGACAGATGATATAGGATTTACTTTGGTTCATTTGAATAAGGTCGGTTATAAGGATGAACCTTTTATTATGGCATATCAAGCAAGACAAGTTTTTTATGTCAGGGGTCCATGTAATGAGAAATGGTCAGTTGTCCTCGAAGGAAGAACCATGCATGGAACTCACGAAGATGAGTCTCTAGATATGCATGAGACACCGTCTTTCTCAAGCAGATCATTTGGTGCTATTGCGGACAATGAAGTGGACGAAATACATGCTATTCGAAGTGATCATGATGAAGGAATATGGGAAAACATTCCAACCTAATAGGTTTCTATTTGTGTATTATTTTTTTTTATTAGTTATTTTGTTGCTATATTGTTATTATCTTTTTTACTTTATTTGTTTGTTCAGTTAATTCATTGTTTTAATAATAAGAGTTAAATTTTTTCAGGATTATGGAGGATTCTGGGTTTGGCAGTGGAATGAGGGAAGGTAGATCTGTCACCCGATTGTCTGGGTTGACAGTAGGACGCATTGCCAAGGAGAGGATACCGGTTGAGTTGGATCCTCGTTCTGGCAAGGCATTAGGCCCAAATGCTGCCAAGTTTAATAGCTATTTGGGAGTCCTAACTCGACGACATGTTTCTATTATCATTCCATCATGGGATGACGTTCAGGAGGTTGACAAGAACCTCATGTGGCAGGTTATTCAAGTATATATACTTTCACATCCCTTCAATATTATATAACTTAAATACATTATTTATTATTTGTTGTTATTTTCATAGCAAAATTTTGACATTCCCAACACTGAGGTCATGAGGAGGAAGATGTTATCTGCCCTTGCCACCAGGTGGAGAGACTTCAAGACTTTCTTGACACGGGAGTATGTATTTGGAGAGCGACAAAATGAGACTCCCTGTCTAAAGTACCAGATCACTGATGAGGAGTGGATGCAATTTCGTGCCACTCGATTGGACCCTTCGTGGCAGGTTAGTTATTGATAACTCTTACATTGACACAAATACTTAAGGTATATTTTAATTAATCTCATTTTCTTTTTTGTATTATTGCAGGCTAAAAGAATAGCTGCCCAAGAACGACAGGCCAAGAATGATGCACCCCATCTATTGTCAAGAGGGGGATATGAAAGAAAAAAAAAGGAAATGAAGAAGGCTAGGGCAGAGGCAGCAGGGGTTGAGTCTGCTGACCGTGTGGAGTCACCTCCCCGCCATGAGATGTGGATAGCAGCCCGGACAAAATCAGATGGGCAAATGACTTCTGAGTCTGCAAGGGTCGTTGCTGATAAAATAGTAAGTAAAAATATACAAACTAAGACTCTTCATTTCAACTCATTTAATTCATAAGTGTAGTTTAGGGTATACTTATTGTTAATATGTTGCAGGAGGGTTTAGTTGAGCAGAGCACCCAGGGCTCATTTGTTTCCCATGGTCGGGATGATATCCTCACAATGGCCATAGGAAGGCCAGAGCACGGAGGACGTGTGCGTGGTGTTGGTGGTTCTTGGAGCCACCAAGATTTCTTTGGTGCCCGATCATCGAGGAGCACTGTTGACTCTTGCAGTCAAGAGGTTATGCAGAGACTGGAGTAGAGATTAGAGATGCAATTTGAAGAGAAATTGAAGAATATTCAAAATGAGTTTGAACAAAAGTTTGAACTTTTGGCTCGTTCTCAGCAACAGACTGCAATTACTCATGATGGTGTTCGAGTCAGCACTAAAGGGAGTTGTGCTACTTCAGATCCCTCACCGGATCAGACTCACACTGATGTACTAAAGCAGTGTGAGTTATATGTTGAGGATAATCCCCCACGGTTAGTGGCTATTGGCCGAGTATTTGAGGGTGGCTCAACCATCCATGGTGTCCCTCTACAGCCAGACTGGACATGGGTTGTGGTTGACCAAGTTCAAGATGTTGTTGCTCCAGTGCCTTTGCCCAATACAGAGGTTCAACTAGTGGGGCAGGCAACCGACACATTCTTAGCTTGGCCAAAACGTTTGGTCATGCCACTTTCAGCACGGGCAAAGGTAATTATATTATTGCTCTTTTATATTCTTATAATTCTATTATTGTTTAACTAATTTTGATTATTTCTTTAGGATTTTATCAATCGTGGTAAGGAGGTCATGAGAGAACCTCATGTTACCTTGAAGCCAAATTTGAGAGATTGCTCCAAGGTGACTTGATTTGGACCTTCTAGAATAATACCTGCACCACCACCCTTAGAATTGGAGGACCCATCAACATGTAAGATCCATACCTGTTGTTTGTCAGCCGAGGTCAGAGTTAGTTCAGCGGTGTGTTGCTGTCGCATCTGCTCGACCTGTTCGATCAACCTTCTCAATGATGTTTCATTGTCCATGCTTGTCGTGTGATCTACGTCATCTGTTGCGCGTCTACTATAGCTTCGAGTGAATACCATAAGCGTGGCCGATAAGAGCTATCTTGATCGGCCCCACGGTGGGCGCCAAATGTTCTTATCGGAGATCGGTCATGGGGAGGACGATCTATTGAGTAAGATTGGTGAGCCTCTTTCACTGGGTATGATTGCTGTTCCAAGGTGGGGGTGATACCTGCAAAAGAGACTCCGATGCTAAAGTTAGTGTTTGTGGATGTATGAGTCTCGTATAAATAATGCACGTACCTTAGTGTGAATTAGGGTTTCATTAGGCCTTGGGCCTGAGATCAGTTATGACTTATTTGAATGTCGGGTTGACGTCATCTAGTGCGCGTTCGAGGTTACTTTGTGTTGTGATGCCGAGCTTGAGCTCGACATTGCAGTACAGATAATACACTTTGTAAGCCAAAGGTTGGTTGATAAGCTTAACCTAACTACTATAGCCCATCCTAAATCTTATAAACTTCAATGGCTTAATAAGGATGGACCTATAGAAGTTAAGGATCAAGTAAATGTTCCTTTCTGCATTGGAAAATATAAAGATGAAATTTTGTGATATAATTCCAATGGATGCAAGCAACATTTTACTTGGAAGGCCCTTGGCAACATGATAGGAAGGCCATTCATGATGGTGTTACAAAAAAAATTTGCCTAGTCCATCTAGGCAAGAAATATACCTTGACTCCTCTCACACCTTCACAAGTGTTGGAGGATCAAGTATTTATGAAATCAAAAAAAAAAAAGAAAAGAGGAGAAAAAGAAGGTTCTAGAGTTGGAGGGTAGTGTCTCCTCCAAGGAAGTTGTTCCTAGAAGTCAATTTTTAATAGAACATTCTATTAAAAAATGTCTTCTAGTTGAACAACCTCTTTACCTTCTCAATACTAAAAAGACACTACTCTTAGAAAAGAGTAAGGAGGATAGTGTCTCCTCCAAAAATCTTGTGATAAAGGAAACCCTCGGGCGGAGGGCTCCCAGTGAGGTTAACCGCGCCAGCATCGGCAGCCTTTGAGGTCACCTCCTCAGCATCTCGAGGGGCAGAGGTCCCCCCGACCTCTTCCTCTCCCCTGTTTCTTTTCCTTCGAGTTTAGGTTTTCCTTGGGCTTTAGGCCTGAGATAAGATATGTTATGATATTATATAATAATAATATGATTGAGTGGGGGAGCCCGTCTAGGGCGGGATCCCAGGGATTCAATTGCGATTTACTCAAATGTCGGGCTGATGTCGTCCAACTCGCGTTCGAGGTTGCCTTGCGTTGCCAATCCGGGTTGAGAGCCCGAATTCGAAGTACGGATAGTACACTAGCCCCCCGAGCTCTGAGGACCGTAGGTCGAGGAGTTAAGACCGAGCTCGTTGGAGGTAAGTGGATTTTCGCGTACGCTATCTGAGGAAAGGCTTTTCTTTTCTTTTACTCGCACCTCTTCGTCTCTTTTCGCTTTACTTCTTTGTTTCCCTTCTGACTTCTCGAGTACGATAGCTTTTCTTGCTTTCTTGCTCTCTTTTGTCTCCTTTCTCCTTCTTTCTCGTGCTTCCGTCGTCGTTTCCGGTAACCCCTTTCTTGTTAGGGTTATTTTCTGAGGAGGAGTACCAGGTACTTCCTTTTTATTGTTTCTTCTCTCTTTTTCCCGGATCCTTTTTGGGTGTTCCTCTTTTTTAATGGCTGGTGGAAGTGATGCCGGATCTTCTGTGCCTGCCGAGGGCAAGGCGCGTGGCAAGGCGGTGGCCGCTGGAAGGGTCACTGTTGAGAAGAAAGACCCGCCGCCGCTTAGGGGCCCGGAGCCAAGCGTCCCTGGTTACGACTGGGTAAAATGCGAGGTGGCTGAGGTTCAGAGCACTTTTCAATCTTTTCTCGAAGTAAATGCGTTTCGGAGGACGCATAGGGTTTGCGATTCTTCCATCTCCCATATGATTCGGCTTGAGCCTTGTCAGGCCGATGAGGGTGTGTATATGGGGAGGTCTACTGATCCCCCCCATTTCTATATGTACCAATGCTTTTTTAGGGATCTAGGTGTCTGTCTTCCCTTCACTCAGTTCGAGTGTGATTTTTTGAATTTTATCAACTCGGCTCCTTGCCAGTTGCATCCCAATAGTTGGGGTTTTTTGAGGGCTTTTCAGGTCCTGTGTACAGTTTTGGGGATAGAGGTGTCTCTTCGCGTCTTTCTTCATTTTTACCAGTTGAAGATAGGCGCTCCGCCTTATGGCATTTTGTCTTTGAGTGGGAGTAGGGATGGGGGTTGTTTTACTCCCTACTCCCAATCGTATAAGAATTTCAAGCAAGAGTTTTTTCGGGTCGCCCTTGTGGGTGTTGACCCTTTGGAAGACAAGGTGTTCTACTTCGGTGGTCTACCGAGGTTTCCTTTTTATTGGTGTCCCAAACCGTCTAGGTTTCACAGTTTGGGTGACCTGAAGGTGACGGCCCCGGAGGGGCCTAGAGAGTGAGTATTGCGCGTTTTAGTAGATTGCTAGGGCTTGTGTAGTTGCCTTTTACTGATGTGTTTCTGTTTCTTGTCTTCAGGCATTATGGGAAAGAACTTGTGGCGTGAGCTTAAGCACCGCTACAATATTATTGAGCTCGAGATTCCCGAGCTCCTAGAGGAGGATGCCGCCCCCCTGAAGACACACCGAAAAAGGAAAAGGGGGGAGAAAGAGGTCGGGGGGACCTCCGCCCCTCACGATGCCGAGGAGGCAACCGCTAGGGTTGTAGACGCGGTGGATCTCACCGAGAGTCCTCCAGCCAAGGAGGCTCCCCCATTAGTTATGGGGGAGGCGGCTCAAAGTGTCGGGCCTGCTGTGCCAGCCGCCGAGGTAGGTGGCCAGGCTGCTGAGCAAGTTGCTCGAGTGGCCGACGTGGTGAGTATCTTGTTTCTTGGGTTTTTCGATTGCCTACTATTATACTTTCTGGTTGCTTGACCTGGGGTCATTTTTTGCAGGTAGGAAATGCCGTCGGGGCGGCGACGCGGGCTGCTGGGGAGGTTCCAGCCACCGAGCAAGTTATTCATGTTGTTGAGGTAGGTAGTGTTTGTCTATTGGTTTCTATGGTTTCCCGTATGTTGCCTTGTTTTTCTTTGACATGGGACTGGTTTTTGCAGGTGAGGTCGGAGGTTCCTGATGTGGACTTTCCGGATGCTGAGCAGGGAGCGTCGGCCTCTGCTGCAGCTTCGGCACCGCCGGCGGGCTCGTCGTAGGGGCTTCCCCGGACCCAGTACCTATCTCACCGCTTCGGGAAGGGTATTGACAAGGTGAGGTTGGACCATGTGAGCGCCTCCGCCGACATGGATTCGTTGTGGAGCGCGGGGGTAACCGCGGAGAGGTTCTTCCCTCAGGGTTCGCTGAGCTCCGAGGATCGGGGATTGATTGACGGGGTCGGTCTTGAGGACAGTTTTGATGCTGCCCAGGTCATGCTGTAGAGAGTTATGGGCATCATGAGCCATTGGAAGCCTAAGTGGGGCCAGCTGCGAGAGGACTTGGCCAAGCAGCAAGAGGATCTGGTCAAGTTGAGGGGTCGACTTCAACCTTGGAAGGAGGCGAACAAGATCCTGAGGGAGGATAATAAAGCCCTTAGCGCAGCTCTTGATGAGGCAAAACAGCGGGAGGTCGAGCTCCGATCTACGTGTGGTGACCTCGCACGGGTGCAGAAGTCTCTCGAGATTGCCTTGCGCTTGAATGAGAACTATGCCTCTCAGGTGGGCGAGCTGCAGGGGCTTGTCGCCTTTTCGCGGGGTCGCGCCCGCTCTCTGGAGGACGAGGTGACATCTTCCCGTGACCAGATGCGGGCTTTGGAGGATGTTGTGACCTCTCTTAAAGGAAATTTGGCGGCGGCGGCTGAGGAGCGCCTCCGTAACGAGGTCGTTCTTGGTGGCCGGGAGGACAAGATAGCCTCCTTGAGGGCGGAGCTTGCGGAGCTGGCAGCGGGGAAGGCGGCCGTGGAGGGGAGGCTCGCGGAGGTCGAACGCTCCGTCGTGGCAGAGCACAAGAGAGGTTTTCAGAAGGCTACCCG